CCTAAAAATCACAAAATATATATATATAAATGCTAAAATAATATCATTTGATCAATGTTCCTCACAATTTGAGGGATTGCCCGGGCTACCCCTGGCAACCCCCTGGGTCCGCCCCTGATGATAGTTGAACTAAATCTCACAAGCATTGCTATAAAGGCTACCATGTGCCTTCCCATCAATTAGTTTTTCCTATAAAAATATTAATAATTATAATATGATATATATTCAGAATTTTTATTTATTTATTGATAATGTACATTGATCCTTCAAACATAACGGTTCAAATTTGCATCATCACATATTATTAATATATTGACATTAGAGTTAATGATATAAGCACACGCATCATTCATGCAAATTTTCGAAGCTGGAAAATTAGAAAAAAAACAAGGAAACGAAAACACATGAAATAATAATTAGGGAGTAGAATAACGTGAAAAGCATAGTCGAGGGGCATCTAGCTAATATGGTATTTGAGAAGCTCTAAAAACGAAAATCTCAAGAGATTGGACCGACTTTTGTGTTTTCTTGATCTCTACAGTTTTAATTTGACTTGAAAAAACAAAAACAAAAACAAAACCAGTGGTCTCGTCGAGGGTTTTTAACACCATTACCAAGGGGAGTCCAAATTATGACATTTAATCAAATTGTCTGAAAGTGGTTCTTAATTACAAAGTCCACTTAAGCTAAACAGTTAAAGAATTGAAGGCTAATTATCCAAATCTAAGCAGTCATTTGCTGAATGTGAGAAAAGCAAAAACACTATGTATTAGTATACTTTTCTTTTGGCACGATCCAAAAGATTAAGACGCTCCTAAAAGCTAAAGTTCATGTCTTTTCTTATTTCTTTACCTAATTATTCTTTTTTTTTTCCTACAAATGAAGATAGATTATTGGTTGATTTTGAGAAGATTTCTATATGTATCATCATTATTACTCTTAACTTTTATGGTCACCGGATTGAATCATTGTTGGTTTTCATGTGTGAAATGTTTTTTAATTATATTTATATCAATGTATTTTTATTCCATTTTGAGATAAAATTCCTTATATAAAGGTTGCTATTTGAGACTCCATCCAGTTTGAGAAAAACATCGTATTTTCTAAACATCTTTTCAAAGATGCCAATGCGTTAGTCCTTTGCAACCCTATCCATTTCACCCTATTTTAAAAAATAATTACTCCCTTTTAAAAGAAGAAAAATAATTTCTTCAACATTCAGTACAAATATTTTTTTCAAACCATTATCCAAGAATTTGGCCCATTTTGAACATATTGTTTCGTTAAATGTTAATTATACACCTTTTTATTCATCAACGAATAGGATTCTCTTCTCTATGAATTTGACATATATTAGATATTTTATGTATATTTTATTCAATCATTTATTCGAAATTAAACTAAATTTGATAATGAAATTATCTTTAAAAAATGAATTTAAATATCAACATTTACAATATTTTCTTTTATTTTCATATCTCTATACCATATATATATACATATATATATACTTATATTATTTAAAAAATGTTAGGTGAGATTTCCCAAAATATGATTTTAATTTGATTTTAAAATTTTTAATGTCTTAACTATTTTTATAGAATTTGAGATTTTATTTAATCTTTGAAAATAAAAAAAATATTTAAATATTCTATAAAACTAAATATTAAAAAGACACTAAAAGTAAAAATACTTTTAAAAATTGTGTAAATTTTAATAAACATTAAAAACATCAAAAGCTATAAAAAATAAAATTATTAAAAGTTAAAACTCAAAAGAGCTATTTTGTTTAAAAAGTAAAATCATTCCTACTTTATCTGACAATGAATTTTAAGGTTCTTTCTTATAATATTTAGGGTGTTTGGTTCACAGAATATAATATTACCTTTGAGAATAACATTATTGGAATATAATATTATTATGAAAATAATGTATTACTTTGTTTGATTTGTTTAACAGAAATATCAAATTACAGTATTTGGTTAGAGGAATATTAGATTACTTGAATGCATATTTTATCAAAGTATCCTTGTGATCTATGTTTTTTTAAAGTTAAACTTTAATATTATATTATAAATATTTGAATGAAAATTCATAGAAATATTTTAATCATTATATTATCTAACTTTTGAGAAAAATAAATTCAATATATATAATTAGTATATTAAATTTATATTTTCAAATAATTTTCATAAGTATCATAACTATTTATATAAAATTAATATAATATGAAAAAAATATTATGATCTAGAGTGGACAATGATATTATTTTTAATGTATAAGATATTTTTTTAATCTTAAAGTTATATATTTTTTTAAATAATTTTTACAGTAAATTATTTTTCACCTCATAAAATTACAAATAATTAATATATTGAATATTAAAAATATAAAATAATTTTAAATACTCAAATTTATTTATATGTTACTAAATTAAACTCTTTGTATATTATGATTATGTTTATAATTTTCAATAAAGTACAAAAAATAAGAATTGAGAATGATCATTATAAAAATAATTCATTAGGCTAAGGTTATTATTGTCTAAAATAGTGTGAATTGTCTAATACCTAAAAATTCAGATATAATGACATTTTCACCATTTTAACAAAAAATATGTTATTATTGAGAAAAGAATATTCTCTAATAATAATTTTTTTCGTGAACCAAACATAAGAAAATAATTTTGAAAAAAAATCGTTCCTTTAGATAATGTTCTTTTTTGAGAACCAAACTTCTCTTTAAAGTTACGGAATAGAGTTTAATCAAAATATTATTTATAAGTATTTTTCATAAAAAATATTTATTTTAATAAACGAGAGTACAATAAATTGAAGAACAAACTTATAAATAAGTTTATTCATGAATAATAAGCAACATATGAGTAATTTACAAAATTCATTCAACATTTTGATTTTCAATGAATGAATAAAATTTCATAACTGAGGAGAAAAATATTTGTACTTTTATTCCGTAGAAAGTACGTATAGAAAGAACATTGAAAGAGTAAAAGAAAAGTGCAGCCTCTGTATTTCAAATTTTTGCCAAAGAAACCGATGTTTTGAATCATAAAAAGGTGGTCTTATTCACAAAAAAAAAAAAAAAAAAAAACAGGTCGGTGGTGAAACCATTTTACACGTGTCGGCATGGGACGAAAAAGACAGGGTCAATTCCTCAATTGGTTACTTTCGATTTACATCACGTCCTTTGTCGTTTTCTTCCCACCTCATCCCGGGGTACAATAGTAACACTACATGTGAGCTGCAATTTTTCTTCTTTTCATTATCTAATGTTATGTTCCATTTCATTAATAATTTGGAGATAAATGAAGTCACTAGAAAATGTTTTTAAAGATAAAGATTTAATAATATATATAATTTTATACATTATTAATAAGTTTAATAATAAAATATTAATAATCAACATTTTGATTTATTTTGTAAAACTTTAATCATAATATTTTATTAGAATTTGACAAAAAAAATAAATCAATCTATAAACACAGAAATTAATATTGAGAATAGTAATCGATTGTTTTTATAATTCTAGGGTCGATCTATGTTATTTTTAAATTAAAAAAACCATGTCTTTTAATTAACAGTTGTCATAGAAAAAATATTTTTTTTTTAAAATCATAGAAAAGCACAAAAAATCTTAAACTAATCCGAAAACAGAAAAAAAACGGTCCATAATTTATTTTTATAAACTTTGAAGATTTTTAAGAATTTCATGTTTTTTTTATTTTACATCTTTAATTAATTTATGAGATTTTCTAAATTCTTTATATTACTTCAGTTATCCTTGATTTCTCTCAATCTAACGATCTTAAAAAAGATATAAAACTAAAATAATTTTACACAGTATAAGTGAATTATATATATATATATATATATATATAATTAATATGTGGTGAATATAAGATAATATTTATTTAAAAATTTAATACCTTCAACCATTTAACAGTGACACACTCATACACTCATATTATACAATGCTCGAGTTCAGAATTTCAAGTGATAATAACAATTATTTATTCACTGAAATTATTTGATTCATGTATGATATGTTCTAATTAGACCAAATGATCTTTTTACAAAATAATATCGTATATATATAACATGAAAAGCGAAATATACATGAAAACAAACTTAAAATTAAAATGATAATACATTAATAATTGAGAAAAGTATATATTAAACAATGTAAAAATCAGTCTAACTTGTAGGGGTGTTGGGATATTAATCACTACTAAAACAAATAATGATAGGAGAAAAATATTGTAAATATAAATATTATATTAAATTAAATTAAAATTTTACTTTTTCTGGTTAATCTCAATTTTTTATTTTTATTTATCTAATAATTCAAAGTCTATGTAAAATTTTTAAAAACATTAATTTGCAGGCTCAGATAAAATATAAAATATTATACAATCCAAAAAAATTACTACTCTTCTCTTCACTTAAAACCTTTAAAATAATGAATAAATATACGAGAAAAATGAATTTAAAACTTGAAACTTGCAAGTTAGGATGAAAGAAAGAATTTGTGATAATTTATTTTACATACTCTAATGATTAATGAAAGAAGACAATAATACAATGACAGCTAATTATATACTAAATAAGAATAAAAAACAGTAAAACTTATTCCCGAGTTTCGTTTCGTTTCCTGTAAACAAGTAAAGAGAGGAATCTCAGAAAAGCACTAATGGGATGACATGTACATGTATACAGTAACAGACAATAACCCTTCTTTCTCTCTTCTCTTTTTCCCTATGGAAAATCATGTATTTGCCCCTCCTTGTATTTTCCCCTTTTACCCTAAAAGGGACGTTGGATTTTCTTCTTAAGAGAACCCCTTCTCTTCTTCTTCATTGTTTTGTCCCTCAACCATCAAGTTAGAGGGAGATATTGCTTCAATTTCACTCTTAAAAAACCATATTTGTTATTTACCCTTTAAAGACCACTTCTTTCTTTTTCTTCTTCTCCTTCAATTCTTACCCTTTACAAGCCCAAGTTCTGAAAGAGAGTTTTTGTTTTGTTTTGTTTTGAGTTTATAAGAATCTGCAATGGCACCAATTTTTTATCATGCAGTATCGAGTCTTCTATGTGCGGAAGAGAACGATAGCGTTTTTGATGATAATGATTACTTTGGGGCAGCTTGGGACCATAGATATTATCGAAACTTGAATCAAAACCGAGTCTTTATTGGTGTTGCTGAAGATGGGTTGCCATTGCAGAGTGAAGAGTGCGTGGCTTCGATGGTGGAGAAAGAACATCAGCATTTGCCTGCTGCTGATTACTTGAACAGGCTAAAAGCTGGAGATTTGGACTTTGAAGCTAGAAAAGATTCTGTTCATTTCATTGGGATGGTGGGTTAACTCACAGATTAATGAGAAAAATTTTCAGTTTTTTGTGAGCTTCGTTTCATTATATCTCAATATTGGTATTGATTTGCCATCTTCTTTCATTATTTCACCCTTTTGATTAATCCTTGGGTCGATTACAAAGTGAACTGATATTTTGTATCTCTTTTCGTTTGCTTTTGCTGTTGGGGCCATTGCTGAGTTGTTGATTGTACTTACCTCTTCACGCCTTTTCTCAACAGCTTCTAAGTTGAAACTATTTCTACTTTTTCTTTTTTACTGTTGAATTCAATCATTTGCCTTTGAATTAGAGCTTCTTTCACATGGTTGATTGTTATAATCGCCTTGTTTCTTCAACAGGTTAATTCCCATTTCGGTTTTGGACCTCTTTGTGAGTACTTGTCAATAAACTACTTAGACAGATTTCTCTCTGCATATGAATTACCCGTAAGTTCAAAACCAATCAAACATGAGAATGTTGTGTTTTGGACCTAAAACTCCATTGACTCCTTTGTGTATAATCTTGAACAACGCAGAAGGGTAAAGCATGGATGATGCAGTTACTCACTGTGGCATGTTTATCTCTTGCTGCCAAAATGGAGGAGACTGAAGTTCCATTGATTGTAGATTTACAGGTTAAAGATTCAATCAAATGCAATATATATATATATATTTGATGTTCTAATCTTGGTTTGATCTGATATGTAGTTTTGGTTATTGAAAAACAGATGGGGGAATCTAAATTTGTTTTTGAGGCTAAAACTATACAAAGAATGGAGCTTTTAGTGTTGAGCACTTTGAGTTGGAGAATGCAAGCAATCACTCCATTTTCCTTCATAGATTATTTCCTTTACAAACTCAATGATGATAAAATCCCAGTTAGAAGTTCAATCTTGAGGTCAATCCAACTCATTTCAAGCACAATAAAAGGTCCCTTTCTCCACACTTTTGAACTAATAAAGGTAGTGTAGTTGAATTATATGATGGAGTGAGTGGGAATTGAATGCAGGGATTGCTTTCTTGGAATTCAAGTCTTCTGAGATTGCAGCAGCAGTTGCATTATCTGTTGCTGTTGAAACAATCAACACTCTGGACACTGAGAAAGCCATTTCTATTCTCTGTCACCATGTACAAAAGGTAAAAAACTTTGGTGGTTCAAAATCCCCCAAACTAATACAAAAATGGGGAACATAGATGATTGATTCATTGGTTTTGCAGTTTAGGGTTTTGTTTATTGTTGGCTTAGGGTGTGTTCAGAACTAGTATTGGTTCAAAACTTTCTTAACCTATTGACAACACACACTCTGCATATACAATTGCTTGAACCCGAGACCTATAGGGAGAACAACATTTCTTTTTACCACTGGGACCATTTGATTTGATGGACTCAAAGCATTTTTGAACTACAACAATGTTAAACTGACCCTAATCAGATTGACTTAAGACATGGGTTTGATTGGTTTTTTGTTTTTGGTTGCAGGAGAGAGTGATGAAGTGTGTTAAATTGCTGCATGAAGTGTCATTGGTTAAAATAGGCAATGGAAGTTTGCCTCAGAGCCCAATTGGGGTACTGGATGCAGCGTGCTTCAGCTATAAAACTGAGGACAGTGAGACAACAACAGTTGGATCCTCTGCGAATTCTTCACTTACAAGTCCTAGTACCAAAAGGAGAAAGCTAAATAGACCCTGTGAAGTTGAGCTTTAAAACTAATGAGAGATCAAAATGAGTGATATTCATAAAAAAACTCAAAAAAGAAACCCCAACTGCCCTATATGTTTTTTTAAGTATATTACATGGTAGCTTTGGGTGTTTAAGGATGGAAAATGTGGTGTGGGGGGTGGGGGGGGGGGGGGAACCATGAATGGAAGATTGAGAAGCATGGAGGAATCATAAGCTTTTAAATATTTGACCTCTTAACAGGCAGAATTTGGAACTTGAGAAGAGGGGGAAATTGGGTAAGAAAATGAAAAAAAAAATGTTTAAAGAGGAGAGATTTTTGCTGCTTTGTGAGATACAGTTTGTTGTTGTAGGTTGGAGTTATTTTTTTCTGGAGGAAAAAGATAAAAAAAAAGATGGTAATATTAATATATATTTGCATATATGGTTTGGTTTATGTAGATGTTTTATATTACAAATTTTAATTATCACAAAATTATATATATATATATATATATATATATATATATATATTGCAATAATCAAATAAAGCCTTGAGAGAATGATGCTGCAAACTAACTACTAAATTAGAAAAACAATATTTTAGTTGGAGGATAATCAATTTTCTCATTCAATATATGTATATATTCCATATTTCATGGTAATAAATATTTTCAGAATAATAAACCTTATTTTTTTTAGATTCATATTTTCTTAACAGTCTAAATTATCCCGATACCGTCCTACCTTCTATACAGACTACTATTTTAAATTCAGATCATTAAAAATAATTTACTCTAAAATCATTCAAATTATAATTAAAAGTTTAGTTATGTGCTAATCAGGATAGTTAAAAAAGTATGATTCTATAAGTTATCATGAAACTTTTATAAATGAACTCTAAAGTCCTGTAATTATGATGAAACTTATTTTATCATGTTTAATATATAATGATATGCTTTAATTTGAATAGACTTTTTATTCTATTAGATTTAATAAAATTTCAAATCAAATTGAATTGAAAAAAATAAAACTTATCAAATTAACAAAAAAAAATTCTCTGAGTTTGACTTGGTTAGTAGTAAGTCTAAAGTATTAAATTTCAGACCCAGCCTAATAACAGGTTGGCCCATATGTTGTCGGCAAGTTCAATTATCATATAAACATTGCCTCTACCGAGCTTCCATTAACCTGGGCGTAGGACTCTTAATTATAGGTTGGGGCCCAAAACATAGAATCTTGGCCTTTCTTCAGGCAGGTATTTTTTTTTATTAATTATGTCTATTCGAAAGATTCTCATTTACTTGACAATGAATATTTAACATCCTTACAAACATCATACTTGAACCCGATAATAATAACTATAACAGCAACTTAAGAGTATAAAATATCGACATTCAGTCAATTTAAAAGCCTTCTCTCCCTGCAACGATTCTTTTATAGGAACAGGTAAAATTTAGAAGGCATTAAAACTATCAACAATTTTCATTGAATTGATCCTCTTTACAACAATTTTTATTGCAAGAGGTAAAATTTGAAAGGTGATCAATTATTTTGATTAAAGTTTCAACCTTCTTTATTTTTGTTTCTTAAATATTATACTTTATCTTTCATTCTGCTCCTTAGTACCTTTTTAATTTACAATGTTAGTAATTTACTTGGCCTTCTCCTAACATTAAGTTTAAGATTATAGTAAAAATCTAAAAGGTATCTTGTTTTATTCAATCAAAATTGTTCATTATTTATTTTGTTATGTCTTATTTTATTGGGTAAAGTCTAATAATGGTCATTGAAATTTTCTAAAACATTCATTTAGGTCCCCCAACTTTTAAAGCTTGCAATACAGTCCTCCAACATTTAATCCGTTTGCAATATGGTCCCCGATGTAACCGACCTTTTGACGCCGTTACACTTCCGTTAGTACGTTTCCAATATGGTCGCTGAACTTTTCAGGCGCTTGCATTTAGGTCCCCCAACTTTTAAAACTTGCAACACAGTCCTCAATTTCCAAAACGTGTAAAAAAGTTCAATTCGTTCACAATATATCAGTCTCATAATCAACATGAACTTATTAAAAAGAATACGAGCTCATAGGACGCCAAAAACCATAAGTCAGATCAATACAATTCCTAGTAAACTAGTACCAGCAGTCTCTCAGATTGAGCCTGGCGAATTCACTATGTCGATACTCACAACCAATTCCCTGATTTAAAGAAAAACCAAACAAGAAGATAAAAAAAGTTAGCCTAGGACCCTCTTTCACTTCTATTCTGATGGACTGAATAACTTTCATAAGGAGTTTTTATTAAGAAGAAAGAAAGAAAATTAAATGGTTTTGGTTCAAAACTAACACTGAATGTCCATATCATTGACATGCAGTTCCAGAAACATAAAAATTTCAACAAAAAACACACAATGCGAGCTGAAAATGGGAAAGTGCGAAAGAGGAAAAGTTTACTTCCGGATAGCCCAAAAGAGAAAATAAATACCTTTTTCAAGTGAGGGGAAAGGCTAAGAAATAGGTGTTGCGTTCCAGCAATTCTTCCTCTATTTTTTTCTTTGTAAATAAAAAGTTGAAAGACATAACACTGCTTGGGTTTACAATTTTACATGGCGGAAAATTGAAGAACAAAAAACCAAACAAGAGTGCACGTGAGAGAAAGAGACTGAGAGCTGAATACGCTGTTTGGGATTTCATTATATTTGATCATATGTTGGAAAATCTTTAACAATAAGGATTAAACGAAGAAATTATTATATGCCATTTATACAAAATAATTTCATCTTTGTTGGTGACTTTTAACAATGATACTTAGTTCATCTTAGTAGTATTTTTCAACTCTGTATTTCTAACCCCATTTGTTTCTCACAAACATTTCATCGAACATCTATGCTTTACCTGAGATGACTTGTATCTAACATTACACCTTGAATCGTTGATGGTCCCGATAGTCCCTTTGGAACATCCCAAAAACTAAGTTACTGATTAAATTGTAAGTATTTGAAACTTCGGGTTTAATTTCAAAAAATTAGAAAAGTTCATGAATTTAGATTGGAATATCTTGGTATTGGATTAAATAGAAGAGAATGAAGGAATTAAGGGTATTATGGTCTTTTCATTTTAAAGGATATTTATCTCATTTATTAAAGAGATAAGCACGTGGGATTTGGGAGAGATATCTAGAAACACATTTCCGCTTGTCTTCTTCTTCCCGTGTACTACACTTCAAAGGTAAGATTATGAATTTTGTTGATTTCTTTAACTTTTAGGGTTGTGTTGAAGGCTTGGGTGTTATACAAGCTTAAAGAAAGCTTGTATAGGATTAAAACAACAAGAGGAGAGAATTATAAAGGAATTTGTAAAAAGGGTGTAGAAGTGAATTGTTGATTTGATGTAGTTTTTGGAGTTTTGTTGATAAATTTGACTTGTCATAAGTAGGAATAAGAAGTGTAAAGTATTAGAAATTAGTTTAGAACATGTTGAAAGTTTAGTAAAATTCTTAATTCAAAGAGTTATGGTGAAATATTGAAGATGATGATGTGTTATAGTGATAAAAGATGGTTTAAGTATGTATAGTTGAGTTTAATGGCATGAAGGGAGTTCTATAAGTGGAGTTTAGGTGAAGTGTTGGTAATTTTTGGGTTAAAGAAGAATAATATGGGTTAGTGGTATCTGTACTGGATGAGTAGTACCGATACTACAAGGCAATAATATGTGATAATTATTTTTAGGTATCGATACTACATAAACATTATGGATATTGCATGAACAATATCGATACCATAAGGCAAAAGTTGGAAAATTCTTCATGGGGTATCGATACCGAAGTGGTAGCATCGGTACCATGGGTATCGATACCAAGGTGGAAGTATCAGTACCATTCTTACAATGAAATTTCAGAATCAAGAATAGGTATCCATACCATGGGATGGTATCGATACTATAAGCATAGAGGTATCGGTACTGTATTTGTAGTATCGATACTACTTAAGTTGAAATTTAGAAATTAATGCTTTTTTTAGTTTTCATTGGTAAGAATCTTTTAGAATAATTCAAATTTTGATATTTATATGGATTATATATTCATGTAGATATCGAGCGAACGAAAAGTCTGGACAAGTCGACAAAGTAAGATTTACCTGGAGAGAGATAAGAGATTGGTATTGACTAGTGAGACCAAGGTGAGTACATGATATTATGTATAGGTTATTTTATGGAATTAAGACTTGCGATGAGTCTAATTCCCATATTAGATTATATGAGTACATGAATACAAGTATGTTAGTGATATGATGCTTATGTGTACATGAGTACATGCATATGTCTAGATCTTAAGTGCATTTCTATACATGATTTATTTGAATTCATGTTTGTGTAATAAACTATGTGAACTGATATAATTGAATTATGTGATTAAAAAGAATATGAGATAAGCTATGTGACGATATAAAAATGTAACATGAGTTATGAGATAATAAGTATGGGATTACATGTTATGTGAAATGATCCTATGTAATATGCTATATATGACAATGAGCTATGAGAATATACGAGAATTTTACATGATCTACATGATAATAAGTTCTGAGACTACATGTGAAATGATATAAGTTATGGGATGATTTGTGTGACTATATGATTATGTGACAAACATAAATAATAATGCCCATGTTATGTGATATGAGAGCTAGGGGTATAGTTGGCATGCCAAGAGTCGAGGGTTCTATGCAGTCCTTCGGGACATATATGAGGTCCTTCGGATAATTTTATACGGCACTCAGTGCAAATTATACGAGCTGTGGTGACAGCATTTGTGCACAACCTCAATGCAGTCACATATCTTTAGTTTTCAGTAAGGTACCATGGGCTAATAAAAGATATAAAAAAAAATTAACATTTTATGAGTTGATAAGTTATTATTTTTTAAATGCATGATCATATGTGTTTTTGTTATGTGAGATATGATGATTCAGGTAAGAGATGAAAGTAGGTGATTGTATGATATGAAAGTATGTATATATATGTTATGAAAGTATATCACTGTATGTTTCATTGGTTCATTTATGCATTCATGCCTCACTAAGTCTGTGACTTAACATATGAGT